GGCCCAGGCAAGAGGATTGCTTGAGGCCAAGACCAGCTTAAGCAACATGGCAAGACCTTGTCTCTACACAAATTAAAAAAAAAAAAATTAGTCAGGCATGGTGGTGCATGCCTATAGTTGTAGCTACTCAGGAGGCTGAGGTGGGAGGATTGCTTAAGTCCAGGAGTTTAAGGCTGCAGTGAGCCATGGTCGTGCCACTGCACTCCAGCGTGTGCAACAGAGTGAGACCATGTCTCAAAAAAGCAAAAAAAGTATTGTAGAAAAAGAAGAGTTTGACATTTTTTAAAAGGGAAATCTGGAAACAGTAACTAAGACTGTGATATTTAAGCAAGTACTCAAAGATGGTGAGGAAATGAGCCATGTGGATATCTGGAGAATGAGCATTCCAGGCAGATGAAACAGGAAATGCAAAGCTGTGTGCTGGGGCATGGGTGTATTTTGTCTCAACTGTATTAAAACTGATGCAGGATTTTTCTCAGCCCCTTCACTGGACTCACGGCAGGGGTACCCCCTCTACTCAGCCCACCATGCTCAACCTTTTGCAGGAGGGAGCACATGAGTGAGTGAGTGTGGGGTCCAACCAGCCACTCCAAGTGCCAACACAGGAGCAACCTCCATGCAGGGCCTACAGAGGCACCCAACTAAGGATGCCCAAAATCCCAAAGGCCCAGAGGGTTGTTACAGTGCTCCTTTAGTTCCACCGTCCACGGACAGTGATGTGTTAACAGTTCAGTTGGCCCCTTGCCTCATCACGTGGGGCAGCTGCCCTCCACCAGTGAGGGCAAAGGGCCAGTGTGACAACCTTTCTGGGTACCCGCACTTGGTGGCCCCAAGCTGTTGTCTCCACCTCCAGGACCACCAGGACTACCTCGTTCCAGGATACCATTAGTTCCTACCTTCATCATTGCAACAGGGTGCCTCCTGACCTTCCTCTCTCCAGTCCTACCCTCCAACTCTTCCCCACCCTAAAGCCAAGTGATCTGTCTAGAGCAATAATCTGATGACCCATAAAATCTCTTTGCCAATTAAGGAACAGGCACATGTTCCAATTCAGACCAGTGAGATGTAAGAAAAGGCTTGCCAGGATTTCTGGGAAAGCTACTCTTTCTCTTCTGTGAGATTCTCTGCCTTCCCCTGCAGAGGGTTGTGTGTCATTTTGCCTGCAAGGGAAGGACGGAGTTGAAGCTGAGAGGAGGCAAAGCCAGGAGAACTGTAGGGTGAAGGTAGCCAGGCCCACTGAAGTAAGTCAACCCTGAAGTCTATCCTATCCCTGGATTCTTGTTAGAGGTGTGTTTTTTTTGTTTGTTTGTTTCAAATGATCAAAAAATATGGAACAATTATTGGTTGCATAGCAATGTGATACTTGGCAAAAGTGAACAGTACACTTAAACATGGTTAAGATGGTAAATTTTATATTATGTGTATTTTACCACGACTAAAAAAAATTACGCCAACAACAGCAACACAAATATGGAACAAATCGTATAATCACCATCCATGTGGCCAGCATTCAATTTGAAATTTGCCTTATTAGTTAAGCCAATTTAAGCTAGTTTGTTGGTGACCTGGACGCAGCAAACACATGCTAAGTAATACGGAATGTGTGCCTGGAAGTAGGCATCCTGCAATTAACAGGCTTATACTTGATGGAATTGGCTGAAGAGATAGGGCTTGATCCTGAGCTAGAAAGTTAGCGATCCTGTTTAAGGATTGTGAAATAGAACTGGTTTCTCTGCCTCTTGAAATTTAATGTGCAAAAAAATCACCTGGGGATCTTGTTCAAATGAAGATCCTGATTTGGTGGGAACTGAGAGTCTGCATTCCTAACAGTCTGCATTCCTGAGAGAATGCAGGCTTGTTAGGATGCCAGGTGATGCCACTGCTGCTGAGCCGTGGACCACACTTCGGATATCAAGGAGTTACGCTGATGTGCCTGGGAATGGGGACCATATACTATGCAGGCTGTTGCATTTGGAGGATGGTGGGGAAAATTCAGGATGTTGGATTGTGTTACCAACTTCTTACAGCCCTCAGTAATGTTCTACAAGAGACAGGCCCTTAGTTTCACACTGGGCTATGTGAAAACAAAGAAGAAAATACATCTCTGTTAAAGGAGGTTCTCTCTTGGCCAGGCATGGTGGTTCACGTCTGTAATCCCAGCACTTTGGGAGGCTGAGGCAGGTGGATCACGAGGTCAGGAGTACAAGACCAACCTAGCCAAGACCACCAAGATGGTGAAACCCCGTCTGTACTAAAAATACAAATATTAGCTGGACGCGGTGGAAGGTGCCTGTAATCCTAGCTGCTCGGGAGGCTGAGGCAGGGGAATTGCTTGAACCAGGGGGCGGAGGTTACAGTGAGCCGAGGTCACGCCACTGCACTCCAGCCTGGGTGACAGAGTAAGACTCCGTCTGAAAAAGAAAAAAAAGGGTTCTCTCTGCCTATGAACTGCAATTTAAAAATGGCTGAAATATGATCATGTGACTATGTCATCTTGGTCAACTTTTTAGAGTCTGCCCATATTTGTAGAATGAATGCATGAATGAGTGAGTGAACTTAATATAAGAAAGAGCTGGATAATTAGAGCCTCCCAGCAGTGAAGCAGGTTGCCATGTAAATACTGAGCTCCCCAACCCCAGAAGTGTTCAAGCAGTGACTTGATGACCATCTGTCAGCTTTAATGTAAATAAATATGACCTGGGGATTTTGTGAACATGCAGATTCTGATTTGGTACATCTGGGTGGGGCCTGAGATTCTGTATTTCTGAGTACCTCCCAGAATATTCCAATGCTGTAAGACTTTGGACCACACCTCGAGGAACAAAGATGTAGTGGGGAATCCTACAGAGGGTAGAAAGTTCAGCTAGATTAGTAGTTTCCAAATCTGCCTGTATGTCAGACTCACCCAGGAGATTTATTAGAAATAAAGGTTCTCCAACTCCAATGCCAGAGCTGGAATTCTGTAGACCAGGAGCAGAGTCTGGATGCCTGTATTTTTCCCAAGCTTTCCACTGATTCAGATTAGCCTTTGGGAATCACTGAACCAGAGGCTTCTTAAATGTTGTTCAAACTCTAAGCTTACTTTTTTAAAGAATCAGACAAATATAAATCAGGATGAGGCAAAGCCAGGCTGACTAAAATCCCCTTGCTGTATTTACTTGGCAAATATCACCAGGGTCAAAACATTGCCCTGTTATTTATGAGTCCTAGATCTATGCTTAACTCCATTTCTAGAGAATTAACATTTCCTGTATTTTTGCAGATTGGAATTACATTGCCCTCTTACAGTAGCCTAATTAATGATTTCTAGAACTCCATCAACTTGAAGTGAAACAACATAATTATGTTAAAAAAAAAAAAAAGGAACTTCCACATTAGATTTCTTGGAGAATGTTTCAAAAGATAAAAATAGCAAGGAAATCTAGGATTGTGTGATGCATCGAAAACATCCCACAAACGGGAATCGTCCCAATTGAGTCTGTTAGGTCATGGTCTCTTGCTCTCATTGCAGCTGTAAGCAGGGAATTGCAGATCCCTAATCTGAGGCTGTAAAGTTTTATTGCCACAGATTTTATAAGTTCTAGGAGGTCAGAATCTCAGGCAGATTTAATCAGTTTCTGTTTTTCTTGCCCATTCATCATTTTCTCTTTTGACATAGCCGCAAATGGGAGGGTTCATGAAGGTGGGCCGGCGCCAGGTTTTAGAACTTGGGGCTGGAGGGAGAGGCTGGACTTTTACCCCACTGCAGGGGTTAGAAGGGCCAGTTGAATTTGTAGGATGTGAAATCCAGTAAGGACCATGATTAAACTGCCAGGAGTGGCAGTGCCTCAGGCACTGGATCCAAATTCAGGGCAAATTTTCAGAGTTTAGACACGGAAAGCTAACAGTGGGGCCATCACCTCATGTGGGGCCAGGTACTGAGGTCAAAATGGGCCTCCTAAAATCTGTAGCAAGAAGGGAAAAGAAAAAACATGAGTTACTATAAGCAATGTAGGCTGGTTTTCAGCTGTCAGGCTAGAAAATTCTGCTAGGCTTTATTTCAGCAGACAAACATCATCAGCTATGCAGTAGCCGGGTCCACAGGGACTTCAGAGAGGTGAGAGCAACTAGCCTAGGTTGCCGAGTTCAAGAGCAGAAACCCTGCCTGGGCCAGCTGCTGTCCTCAGGCTGAAGATGGACTATTTCAAATCCATGTGACCAAAAGAGGGCAAAACTAGAGCTGGCTCCTTGGGGGATAGGGTGGTGCCATGGCCCCCATCACCTCCTTTTTTCTTCCCATTAGATAGCAAGCAGCTCATTGCAGAGCCACAGTCACCAGGACAGAGAGAATGTCCAGCAGCAGAAGCCAAAAAAAGAAACTTTTCCTTTCTGTCTCCCCTGTCTGTGGCATGCAACCCAGCCATGAGGACGTGGGGTTGAAGCCATTTCCTTTTTCAGTTTCAGCTTCTGACCCTCCTCAGGATTGGAAGTGGAGATTCAGAGGAGGCTGGCAGGGTGAAAGCATGACGTCTCAAGAACCAGCTCGTGCTGAAGTCACTGCTCACCTTCCTGTCTCAGGGATGCTCCTGATGCTAATCACTTTGTGTGAATCATGCTCTACGTGTCGGCATGCCTGAGCCCAGCTTATCCTCATGGCATCCTGTGAGGCAGGCTGCTGCTCCTACTCCCACTTGCCAGAAGAGGAAGCCGAGGCTCAGAGACTGAGTGACCCTTGGGGTTACAGCCACCGAGCAGAGTCATCAGGGCACTATGAGATTTCCTTCCAACTCCACTCTGAACTCACTCTCGGTGGCCCAAGCTGGACCCAGCGAACACCGTAGTGGCCCAGAAAACACAGAGCACAGGTTACATTTGGCTCACGTTCCTGGAGTGTCCATTGTAGGTTGCTGTGAAGTAAATTTTAAATTTTTGTATAAAAGCAAACAGATAAGTTATTGAGTGGGACATAAAAGCATGAATTTGAAAGTTAAAATGTAAGATATTGACCTTTTACTTAATAATAATGTAACAATATTGCTTTATTAATTGTGACAAACGTACCATTGTAAAATAAGATAATCATAATGGAAACTGGGTATGGAGTGTTCAGAAACTCTGTATTATCTTTGTAATAATATGATAAATCCAAAATTATTCCAAAATAAAAATTTTTCTCTTAAAAAAGTAAGATATCAAAGAAATTTTAGAATCTCAGTTTCCTTCAGGGGTACCTGGTCACAATTATCTTTTGTTAGAGGCATATCAGAGACCGTGTTGCTCACTGAGTGGAAGCACATTCTACAGTGCACTCTTTCGGCCTCTTGGAAAGCCTGTATTCATTTGAAGAGAGTAGGATGGTGAAGATTCTTTCACTTCCTCTCCCCGGCCTCTGTCCCCTTCTTAGCATTGTGAGAAGAGTGAGAGGCAATTACCACTTCACCCTCCCCAGGTTCCCACCAGAGTGGAAGGAATCCCATCACAGACAGAGACTGTTTGAGCGTTTCACTCCATTCCAGCCTCCACCACAATCTTCCAGAGCATCTATTATCCTCATGTACCCCAAAATCATCAGGGCGGAGCCCCAGGAGGGAAGTAGTGAGAATTCAGCCATTTACAGTAAGTCCTAGGGAGCACATACCCTGCAGCCTGCCCCGACCTGTGGGTTAGTCAGCAAGCAGGGCAGGACGCCTTCTTGGGGCCCCTACTCAGGACCCCAGCCTCCCTCCAGCATAGACACCTAAGAAGGCAGCTTCGCAAGCCTGGGCGCGAAGCAAGCATGAGTTCTGTTGCTTCTAAAAGATTCTTTCAGCATCTGGGAAATAGGCATTGAAGTTCCATCTTAGGTTTGGAAAAGGGGGCTTGAACTGCTATTTTCTCCCAACTGTAAATGAGACAAGATTCAGTCGTTCATTATGATCTCTTGGCTCTCTCTGTTCCTTTCCAGCTTGTGATGGGCAGTGGGGGCTCTAAATCAAGGAAAATAGAAGAGAAAAGAGAAAAATTCAGAAATTATTCCTTCTAGCTACATTTTTTTAAATTTTATTTTTAAGGTTTTTTAAGAGACAGGGTATTGCTCTGTCACCCAGGCTGGAGTACAGTGGCACTATCATGGCCCACTGTAACCTTGAACTCCTGGCCTCAAGGGATCCTCCTGCTTCAGTCTCTGAAAATACTGGGATTATAGGTGTGAGCCACCACACCCAGCCCTAGCTACACTTTAGTGCAGTATTTCATTCAGGCTAGAAAACGGTCTTCAGAGACAGCTTTAGAACTGACAGTCAAGAACTTGGACTTGAATGACTGAATTAAGCCAAGGAAATTTTTACACCAGTGTCATCATCTTTACCATCAAAGCAAATCTTATTGATTGCACAATGTAATTTACAGCTCTTGAGAAGTTTCCGATTTAATTTGGGTAAGAGGAAAGATGCATAGAGACAATAAATAGGAAAAGCAAAGGGGAGAAAAAGAATTAGTGTGCAATGCTTTCTGGAGCTTGGCAGACAATGATAGCTTCATGGAGAAGAGAAGGCTTGAGCTAGATATTGGACTTGGACAAGAAGGGAGCAAACGAGTCAGGTATGGAGAATGGCAGACGAACAGACAGAGGGTCAGGAATGTGCATGGCATGTCAGGGAATGAATAGTTTACTTGGCTGCAACAAAAAGCTTGGGTAAAGGCGCAATATGTGATAGGCTGGGATGGATACAGGCTTAGGCAATATAGGGCCTTGGCTAATACCTAAGACCTTGTCCTATGGGTAGTGGGGTGCTGTGTACAGAAAACTACCGTAAAGGGACATGCGGTTTTGGGGCAGACTCAGGAAGACCAGTGAGAAGGCTGACATTGGAGCAAAATAATTGTAATTTTTTTGCAATTACAGAAATTGGGGCCGGGCGCAATGGCTCACACCTATAATCCCAGCACTTTGGGAGGCCAAGGTGGGTGGTTCAACTGAGGTCAGGAATTCAAGACCAGCCTGGCCAACATGGTAAAACGCTGTTTCTACTAAAAATAGAAAAAATTAGCTGGGCATGGTGGCGCAAGTCTGTAGTCTCAGCTACTTGGGAGGCTGAGGCAGGAGAATCACTTGAACTCAGGAGGCAGAGGCTGCAGTGAGCCAAGATATTTTCACTGCACTCCAGCCTGGGCAATAGAGTGACACTCTGTCTCAAAAAAAAAAAAAAAAAAAAAGGGGGGAAATTCAGGGCAGGGCAGAACCAGAATGTGGGGAAGTCAAGGAAGCCACAGTTGCAAGAGATTTATGAAGGAAAAATGAACAGGATTCGGTGACCAAGAAGATGGGAGGAAGGAAGAGAAAAGAGGAAAAGAAAAAAGAAAAGTACCCAGGGTGTCTCCCTGGTTTCCAACTTGAGTGACTGAGAGAACGATCACATTCCCAGCAGAATTTTTCTTCTTTCTCAACAAGATTTTTCTTGTTCTTTTGTTTCTGGTTGTCCCTCAGAACTAAGAAGAAACAGCCTTTGGGATAGTTGTCCTCCTACCCCATCCCAGCTGGTCCTAAGAGTGAGAACATAGGATTCTCATCCCCCTTTTATATAAAGAGAACCTGAGGGTGTGTAATGTGTACAAGACTGTACAATGAGGCAGAAGCTGACCGGCACTGGGACCTACAAGATCTACTGATCCACAATTGAATTCTAAACATCACAGCCCAAGGGAACCAACACAATTACTTAGTGGACCCATTACTCTTTCCAGAGAAGGAAACTGAGGCCTCTGAATAAACAGTAATTTCCCCAATGTCACATGCTGCTGACTAGCAAGCTAGGACTAGAGCCAGGCTTGCTGAGTTTTAATAATCCAGTGCTCCTTGCATTTTTGCTAGTCGCTTTGTCACATCTGTATGCACGTGCATGTGCAAACACATACACACACACATATACATGATTGCTTGCTTGAGAAACAGGGCATTTATTGGCATGATATTTTCTTTATGGACGTATCACAAAGCATATCATCAGACCACTCACAGAATAACAATAGCAATCAAGATTGTTTTTTGTTTAAAATACTGTGTTTATTTGTAGCTTAAGTGGGAGTTGGTTTATTGCCCCATCTCTACTCTGAGCAACTCAGGATTTATTCTGGGTCAGATTGTCTTGCTCCATTGGGGTCTGTCCCCTTTCCCAGCCCTATGCCTACATTACCCTGCCAAGGCAGGGAACAGATCTGACAGCTTTTTTGCTTAAGCAAACTTATTAAAATTCATAATTTATCAACTAATTAGGAAGAGAGAGGATTAGGAGTAAGAAAAAAATCAGAAGCACATACTATTAGGTGCTCAGTGAGTATTTAAGAGGAACAGGGAAAGAGGGAACACTGAGGGGAAATGGGTGAATGGTGTTAACTGAAAAAAAAAAAGATTTTCCATTAATGAAGAGAAGGAAGAGACAGCACTCTGCCCACCCACCAGGCTGGTTCCCAGGGAAGCCCTTCAGTCCCGGCATGCTGTGGCTAATTGGAAAAATTCATTGATCATAGGTTTGCCAGTTGGAACCCTTATGTTATGCCAATCTCAGAAGCCACCAAGCATCAGATCAATTCTACCACTAAAAAATACCAGGAGGCCGGGCTCGGTGGCTCATGCCTGTAATCCTAGCACTTTGGGAGGCCCAGGCAGGAGGATCACTTGAGCTCAGGAGTTCTAGACTAGTCTGGGCAACATAGGGACTAGTAGAGAACATCTGTCTCTACAAAAAATTAAAAACTAGTAGGGAACGGTGGCACATACCTGTAGTCCCAGCTACTTGGGAGGCTGAGGTGGGAGGATGGCTTGAGCCCTTGCACTGATTGGTGATCACGCTACTGCACTCCAACCTGGGTGACAGAGTGAGACCTTGTCTCAAAAAAAAAAGAAAGAAAGAAAGAAAGAAAGAAAGAAAGAAAGAAAGAAAGAAAGAAAGAAAGAAAGAAAGAAAGAGAGGAGAGAGAAAGAAAGAGAAAGAAAAAGCTAGGAGAAGGTAACACCTTCCTCCTCCTGTGTCTCTCTCTCTCTCTCTCTGCTAAGGAGGAGGAAGACTGCCCGCTGAACATATACAAGCCATCCCCCTTTGTGAACGGCGGAATGTTGTGTTTCTACCACAGCACTCTCATACCGTCTACGCCTCCTCTCCAACAGGAGCTGCTGCAGCTGTCCCCATCCTTCAACAGCGTCATGCCGCCACGGGACCGCTCATTCCAGAGAGAGGCTCTGCCATCTCTCTACCTACCCTCTACACCTCCTCCAGAGACCTAAAGCTTTGCAGGACCAGCTGCGAAAAGGCAAGCTCAGAGAAAGCCCAGAGTGCCTGGGTTCCTACTGCTCCTTCTCTAATTAGAACTAGTGGTTAATCCCAGGGGTTAAACATGGGCATATAAAAAGTATTATTGTGTATTGTGCATCCTTGGGACAAAAGAGAGAGGAAGTCTGTTTGTTTTTATTACTTTTTTGGTGCTTTTTTTGGTGTTTCTAGGGAGCCTTCTAGAGGGGAGGGAAGTCACATTTGAGTCAGGAAAGAGAGAAAAAAAAGAAAAAAGAAGAAACTTAACCAAAAAAAAAAAAGAAAGAAAGAAAGAAAGAAAGAAAGAAAGAAAGAAAGAAAGAAAGAGAGAAAGAAAAAACTAGGAGAAGGTAACACAGCCTCCTCCTGTCTGCTAGGGAGACATACAACCCATCCCAAATATTTCTTTTCTCATCTACAAATCCCTCCTCTCTCCAACGGGGGCTGCCTGGCAATGTCCCCATCCCTTCCAACAGCTCATGCTGCCCCGGGACACCATTCAGAGAAGCTCTGCCATCTGCACACCCCTCCAGAGACCAGGGACAGCTTAAGCCAGAGTGCCTGGGTTCCTCCCTTCTCTGGGGTAGAACTAGTGGATGAATCCCAAAAGGGGTAAACATGGGCATATAAAGCCATCCTTGGGACAAGAAGTCTGTTTGTTTGGTGTTCTAGGAAACCAACAAAAGGAAATGCATTTGAGTCAGGAAAGAAAAAAACAAAACAAAAAAAACCCTGCCCAGCTATGAATGACAGCCAAGCCAGCAGACAAGGGTGAAAACAGACAGCTAAGGAAGGGACTAGCTGCGCGCCCATGGGAGACGGCACCTGACATGGGCCCAGTGTGAGAGCTACAATCACCTTACACAAACAGATCGGTCGCTGTGTTACTGACCACGAGTATCCTTTGGATCAACCAAAGGTTGTGTATGCAGCGTGCAGCATTCTAATTCTAGAAGGCGACAGAGGTGAGCCAGCTATGTCCAAAATCAGTCTCATTTATAAACTGTGTTTCTGGGAAGTGTGCATGCATGTTTGTGTATGTGTGTGGATGTGTGTACTGCCATGTGCCAGCAATAGACCTTATCTTCATTGGGTACTCCCTGCTGCTGCTGCTATTGCTAAAATATCTTGGACTCTGCACTGACATATGAGAAGCTATTGGCCTTTTTGGCTTTCTCCTGGACTTTCTGCCTTCCATTCTTCATTTCTCAGGCCAATTTGCCATTCCCACATGGGAAGACATCTACCTGTGCTACAGATTTGACTAGACTGAGATAAACCCATGACAACCTGTCATCACATGTCAGCAAAGCTCTAAAATAAAAATTAGCTATAGGACAATAGGCATGTCACTGTCAGATTGACTGCCTCCAGGTGTGCTTCACGCCAATATCAAGGAAGGATCTTACTGGGCTGGAGTTGACACTGCCCCATCCTATTTGACCCATTACAGAAAGACCAAATCTAGGACATATTGTATCATGTCATAACATGATAAAACTCAGGAATGATCAGACCTGTATTTTGCTGTTACCCTGACTCCATAACTCACTGTATTTTGTACATAGGAAGCAATGTTATCCCATAGGGTCTTCTAAAAGGAAGTTCCATCTTTAAATTATTCAGAACCAACTAGGTCAAGATCTGCCTAATGACACAACTTCCTGAACACATTAAGCATA